GCTGCTGCTGCTGCTGCTGCTGCTGCTACTACTACTACACTACTGCTGCTGCTGCTACTACTGCTGCTACTACTACTACTACTACTGCTACTACTGCTACTACTACTACTACTACTACTACACTACTGCTGCTGCTGCTGCTGCTGCTGCTGTACTACTAGTACTAGTATTACTGCTATGACGACGACCGGGGACTGAGGCACTGACACGAGGATTCGGAGGATTAGGATGCTAGGAGGCCAGCAGGCCAGCGACCCTGGACCCAAGGCCTAGGACCACTCCGAATCGGAGCTGAAGGGCAAGGACTAGGACTACAATAATAAATTCAGCTGCTGCGTGCTTGTATTTGATCAGCAGTGTGTTCTAGGGGTCTGTAACAGTATCTTCGAGCAATGCCTCGTTATCCACTGCATCCGAGCAACATCCGGGACTAAAGGGAGTGAGTGCATCTGCTTGTTCTCTGCTTGCGCTTACCAGTCTCCTAGAGAACAAGCTAGGACAAGGGTTACGGTCATGACCGCCACAGCAGTGGCAGCAGGGCTGCGGCAGCAGCAGCAAGCCATGGCGGCGGCCGCCGCGGCGGTAGCAGCAGCGGCCGCAGCAAAAAAGCAACAACAAAGAAACCATCACCGTGGCAATGAGAGAGGACTGGCACCAATGCCAATGGCGAATGGAAGACATTACAGAATCCGCATTGTGCTAGCACTGCCAATCAGCAATATGAACGCGTGGTGCGAACCAGTCAGAACTCGAACAGTGCCAGAAGGCCGTCAGATTTCAGCTTCGAGCCCATGTGGTGCGCTCCCACTCCGCCAGGCTTGCAGATCTTCGGTGCTTTGGGAACTGCTGACAGGGAGTTTCATGACGTGACTGTGTGTTGTGATGATAACAAATGAACAGACCAACACAGAATAGAAGAGGTATGGTATGATATCTCACAGGCGTGGTACGCCATGGTGTGTCGTGGTGCGGCATGGCATAGTGCGGAATGGTATGGTGCGGTACGTTGCGGTATGGTAGGGTACGGCATTGTTTCCCTTTCTATGTTTGCTCTAGCGCTTGGCTGCGGAAGGTACTGGGCAGCGATGTGCTCGCTCCCACCGAAAGATTTGCCACCAACATCGAAGCTCAAACCTGTGACGGAGGCCCGGAGCAGTTTTGTGTTTGGGCTTCGGGGCTTACTTTAGGGTTTCGGGTTCAGGGCTGAACTAGGTTTCCGGGTTTAAAGGGCTCAGGGTGTCGGGTGCAGGAACCCGAATGTAAGCTATCCATTGGCAATCCCTCTTTCCTGAAAATGTTTCCAAAACCCTACAGCCCTTACACAAAAGACTTGAAACCTAAGCCCTAAACCCTGTGAGTGGTAACGAGTCTGTGCCGGACATCCTCGTCCGTACCAAAGTCCACAGCTGATAGCTGCAGCTCAAGGTTGATGTCGAATCCATAGGGCTGGGAGACTAGGCACATAGGCTAGCGGCTAGGGTTTACAAAGAAAGTTGCATTGGCAAAAACCTTAAAGCGCCCAGCCCGAAACCGCAAAAGCTTATCCGGAAATCTGAGCCGTCTATGGCCCTAAACCCTAAACCCTGAACCCTAGGCCTTAAATCCTGGGCCATAAATCCCGGAGCCCCGAGGACCCTGAAGCACACGCCAAGTTCTTGAAACAAAGACTTCAACTGTTCCCAGGGCCAGCAGCTTGCTAACAGCCCCAGCAAGACTAGCTAAGGGTTTAGGGTTTAGGAGTTTATAGGGTTTAGGGTTGAGGTTCCGTCCGTATCATCCATTTCACTACTGCTGGTCAGCAGGAATGAATAGAACAACCATGGTAATATCAAAAAACAGTCTTCCTAGCAAGGCGATATCACAGACTCAGTATCTGGCAGGAGGAGAAATCCTTTGGAACGTGGCTGTAAGTGAAGTGTTCCCTAAACCCACAACCCACAGCCCTCAACCCTCATATATAAGGCCTAAAACCCGAAAGTCTTATCCCCTGGACTCTGCGAAGCCTGTCGGATCGCTTGCCGGCCGGCCTGCCAGGACACTCACAAGAAGCTGCTCCTCCTGTGCCTTGGTACGATCTCGGAGGATCTTGAACTTCGAGGTCCCCCAAAAGTGGGCTCCTTTTCGTGAAGGGGTCCTACGAATTATCTAGAGCTAGCCTTTAGAGGGTTTAGGGTTTAGGCGATGTTGGGGTCTCTTCGATGGCCGCAAAGCCTCTTCTTTAAAAAACATTGCGGCTCGCGCCGAATCCCTGACACCCCAAGAGCCCAAACTGCTGGAGCCCGAGCCCCGAGATTTTGTGAAGTGGAAGCCCCTAAACCCTAAACCGTAGATCCTGAAACCTCTACCCTGAGCCCTAAGCCCAGAACCAGAAGACTCCAAGATGCGCAAGGTACAGCCCGGAGACCTCGGAAGCCAGCGAGGCCATGACAATGGGATGCCCACCTCATCATCCTCGCCGGTTTAGGGTTTAGGGTTTAGGGGCATCATTCCTATATCCCAACCAACGAGCTTCCGGAGACCGCAAAATTGCATGCCTACGAGCCCCCGTTTCCTAAGGCTCCCCGTTTGAATTTAGGGCTTGTTTTGTTCCTTCATTCAGGGTTTAAGGTACGAAGCCGCGAACCCTAAACCACTTCTGAAAGGATGGGATGTCCCCTGCTGTCTCCGCTCAGGGGTCTCGCAGGATCAGGAGCCACCGTTACGGTAGGGTTTAGTGTTGGCAGTCAGGTATGCCCGGAATCGTTTCTCGCAGAATTTGATGTTTGTGCTCTGCAGCCGTCATGTACACATAGAACATACAAATACATGTACTTGTATATGCATCTGTACGTAGCGCCGTTGCCGTGTACAATCAAACAGCAGCAGTTCTGCTTGTACGCTTCGCTTTGTGGGTGGCTAGCAAGACCAACAAACGTAGTACGGCTAGGAGCTGTTAGAACTAGCCATACACCGTAGCAGGAGAAGCAGTAGCAGCAGATGAAGCCGTCGTTGATCTGGATACTGAAGAAAGATCTGTCACAGTGGTATTCATGCTGGCTGGGAAAAACTGGTTGATGTAGGATGCGCAGTCTGACAATTCCGTTTAGGCCGGTTCACGATGTAGGGTTGAGGCTGAGGGTTTTTGGGGCTGCGAGGTTAACATCTGGGATTTATTGCTTCCAGCCGGTTTTGCTAGAGTTTTTGAGCGACGGCACGGAGGTAGTTTCCGTTTTGCAGGTGCTCGCTTCCACCTGGATCTTCTCTTCCTGCCCCTGCTAGAATCCCGAGCTCTTCTCCCAACCCTCGGCTGGCTGCCCACATCCCCAAATCGAAGGAGGGGTGTTCATCTTGTGACTCTTGTGATTCAAGCTCGAAGAGTTTGAGCATGTCAGGCGATGAGGCTCCTGGTAGAGGAGTTCCCCTCAGAGCTAAGGCAGGGGGAGTCCGGTGGGGCTCGGGTAGTGCCTGAGCTTGCAAGCAGGATGTAGGGTGGTCGGAACGACTCGGAAGGCTGTGGTTGAGAGCTCCTATCTACTTGAGGTAGTAGCCTCTAGCACCGCACAGCTTCAATGGACATAGCAAGCCGAATGCAATTTTTTCGCTCTAGTGGCTTGGATGCTTTAATTCTTCGACGCCGAACTCTTCTGTCTTGTGCCTCTAACCTAGAGGTGCTTTCAAGGGGGAGCCTGCGTTTCAGGTCACACAGCGGTTCCAGCCCAAAGTCGCGCTCGCCCAGTACATCCCAGCTCCTCATCCTCATTGCACCTCCTACAAACCATGAGCTACTCTAAACCCTAAACCCTAAACCCGACTGGGCCCTGCTTCGGCGACCACGGGACAAGGTGTCGGCCCCTGGACCTAGAGCGGCTGATGCAGGCCGACGCCCTAGGGTTATTGTGGAGTGTGGGGGTTGTGCCTCTTTGAGGGCCGCCGGTTTGAAGGTTTCCGGGTTGGCCTTAAGCCCTATTCTCACAAATTCCATTCCTGAACCCTAAACCCGAACATCCCAAATCTTAACCCACCAGCATGAGAGCAACCCATCGCCGGCATGAGCTGTATGGAAAAGGCCTTCGAACACCCCAGGTTTCAATGAACCCTTAAAGTAAAGGAACCCTCAGCGGAACCCTTCCAGACAGGAAAGGAAGCAGCAGATTTTCTGACAACGGAAATGATAAAACCAAAACAGTAGCAAAAGTGCTCCACAGTCGTCCGGTAGCCTTGCTACTAACAGCCCTCATAGGCGCTTTTATGTTTCTATAGGAGCTCGATGTAGTGGAGGCCTCTGCAAGCAGGTCTGGATCCTGAATTGCTTCGAGCATACGGACGAGCCGCAGCAGCCTCGGTGCGAAAGTCTTTCGAACACCCCATCCGGGCCGAAACAGGGGCTCAGGGTTTGTTTGGGACCAACACCGTTTAGGGTTCAAGGGTTCTGTTTTAGGGTTTTTGGGGTTTGGGTTCAGGGTTTAGGCCTGCGCCTCATACCCAGGAGCCTCAGCAGTCAGCAGCATCCTTCCCCACCATGCATGGGTTTTTGCGCTGAGGGTTTAGGGTGTAGGGTTCAGTGCGACATATCCAAGCTCTAGGCGTTCAGTCAGGCTCCTTTTTTGCAGTGTGTGGTCGAGATTCGGAAGTGCTCTTAGGATCAGGGCACTTAGCAGTGTAGGGTCATACAGCATTCTAGGACGGGAGGGTAGGGTGCGGCGACGTGTGGTACTGGATGCAATGCAGACCCTAAACCTTAAAACCCGAAAGCAGCACAACTACAGATCCAATTCCATACCGTCTGCTGCCACGCGAGGTTGCGTGAGTGGTCCGTCATGGTCCGTATTGTAGTCTAGTATTGTGGGAGCATACCCACATCCCCGAACAAAGATTCAAGACCCTGAACCCTAAAGTCCAAACCCTACTTCAACCCTAAACCATTCCAGAAACCCTGGGGACCCTGAGCCGTAAACGGATCGACTGCAAGTCAAAGAAGTCCTCACGTTTCGGGCTGGGGTTCTAGGGTTGGGTTTGGAGTTTCGGGGTGAAGTTCAGGGCTTGGGTTTGGGGGGTTTTCTGGGTGCATTGTTAAGGGATGTAATTTAAGTTACCATAATAAAAGAAAGCATACTACTTACTATAGATCCCTATTCTGGTAGCTTAAATCATTCTGCCCTTAACAAGAACCCAGGTTGAGGCGATGAGGAGCTTAGGGCCCCTTCGGGGTCTCAGGTTCGTCTCTTGCGACTCCCTGAGGCTAGGCTACGCCACCTACTTCATGTCTTCCTTCATGCCGCGCACCCGGCCGAGATCGAGCCAGAAAATCGCAGACCTAAGCCTTAAACCCCGCACCCGATGATCCAAAGACCCCTAAGCCTTCAACTCGAGACCCCAAGCCCTCATCCCGAAACTCCTTCTGAGACCCTTGAGGCGATCCGAAATCCCCGAACCCCCAAAACCAAACCCGCCTAAACCAAAGCCAACCTGCCTAAACCCCAGACCCTAAACCCTAAACCCTAAACCCAAAACCAAATCCGTCTAAACCCTTAGCCCTAAACCCAAAAAGCCCCAAGGCCCTTATGCACCCCAGACCCAATGAAGTTCCGGGTTTCAGGAGAAGCGGCTGTGAGGATGTTTCTTTCCGGGGCTTTGGTCGGGTTCTTTAGGGTTTGGCAGGGTTTAATAGGGCCTGGCAGGATTCTGAGAAGTCCGTTTAGTGAGGGTTTATGGATTCAGTGAGGTTGCCGCGGGTCTAGCGGGATTTAACATTATGGACCATTTCTACCGCTGCTTCTGCTACATGTTCGGGATTCGTCTGCACCAACTTTTGCCATTCCTACTACACGACTACCAAAGGGAACCCTTTAGGGAGCCTCAAAAAGGACCTTGAAAGAATCCCTTTTGAAGGGAACCCTTTAAAGGAACACTGTAGTACCAGTGCAGTTTAGCTTTACCTCGGCGCAGTTGCGCTAGAAGTCTTTGTCTGCCTATGAGCCCAGCTATGACGACGATGGAGTTTGTTATTTAGGGTTTCGGGGTTTGGAGTTTTGCTACTGCTCCTTGCCACCAGGCACAAGCGCAGTGTGGGTTCTTCTCAGGAGCTTGACCCGAGTTACCATCACAAGTCACAAGGCTTAAGGAAAGCATGGTCGTTTCAGTAAGCCCTTGTGATTGCAAGAAGGCAGGTTCAGCTACGGTGTTGTTAGCAAGAAGCCGGCGGTGCTGCAGGTCTCACTCCTGTCGTCCAAACTCCCTGTGGCACTACGACGGGGACCCCTGTGTTTTGGAGTTGAACGGGGGCTGAGGGACGTGTCTTTCGGCCCCATGCCCCACAAAAAAAAGGAGGACCCTCAGTTCTGGGATCCCAGACCCGGGGGGTCGAGGATCTCTCGGCTTTGTGGCGTCTACCCTCAGGATCGTCTTCGGGGGGTTATATGGACTGACATAAGGAGCCTAAGCCCTAAACCCTAAACAACCCTAGACCCTACACTTCAAAGAAGAAGAGAGGGGGGCACCAGGCTTCGTAGGAAGGATCTGGGGCAGAAGCTTGGGATGCAGGGGAGCGTCATGAGGCAGCGGCTTTTTGCATCTCTACTTCGTGAAGCGTTGTCTGTTCCCAGCTAGGTGCTTGTTTGCTAGAGATTAAGTCTTCGTAGCCATGGATCGTGCGTAGCTTAGCCTCGTTGGCCTCGCCTGCATGGCACTCGCGCACGCCACGCGCCAGCAGCAGCAGGAGCCAGGTTACCGTTACGTGGTGGACCCCAAGGTCAAAGCCGTGCGGGATTTTTTTGGGGTCACTGGATGAGAAGCCGACACCGGGCCATGGGTCCCAAGGATATTTGGATTATTCGAAGAAGACATGGGACACCTCGGGCATCCCGGGCATCCTCCCAGAAACAGAGATGGATCCCTGGTCACCGGTATCGCATCGGCGTGAAAACAACTGTTCGATTCTGTATGGGATGAACCCAAAGGAGAACCCCATGTATTTCCCGGAAAACATGGACTCGCAGTGCAGGCTTTGGGACGTCTGGTTCATGGCCAAGGTCTGGGTGTTCTTTGTGGAATCAAGTAGTTGTTTTGTTCTATCATGAGCTGAAAGGATTATCAAACAGATCATTCGGGGGTCAAAGTGGCCGATAGAGGTTCACTCGCTCCCGGACGTGGTTGCCATGCTGAAGCATGAACGGGCGAAGGCGGAGAGCGAGTTTCAGGCTTTGCAGGGCATTCAGCATGAGGCGGCTCAGTGCGAAAAGGTGAAAGCTGGGAAAGCCGAGGAAGCCCTGGGCTCCACCTCCTCCGAGGAGCTCTGTCCTAAGTATTCCTCGGAATTGAAGGCAGCGCTCACGAAGTACACGCTTGCCGTGGAGCGGTGTGCCAATGCCCAGTTTGCTACTGTGCGCAGGCCTGAGATCGACAGTCTTATTCCGGTACGTGAGATCGATTTCAATTCATGGGAATTCACGGGCGATGTTGCCCCTCGGACATCAATGACCGAAGAGTATACGCTATATTCAAAAATCCTTCCGGCAAGCCGGAAAGCGGAAGCAAAGAAAAGAATCAAGAAACAAGACGAGCGCGTCCGCTACCTCCACAAGACGACGGAAGCCGTGGACAAAGCTTTTGGGAAGTACGTGGAGCAAAAGCCGGAGCTGGAGAAGGCGCTCGCAGAAGCAAGAAGCGCCGTGCTGGATCACAGGCAGCAGGCCTGACAATTTTTTTCTGGTTCTTTCTAGGCACAGAACACCTCAACCATCCTAAAACTCTCAAACCCTAAACCCGAAACAACCCTCGCCCATCCCGAAACCCTCCTTTTCCGAGGCCTGTGAGGCGGCATGCCTACTCGAGGCAGCCCCGAGAGTGGCGAGACCGGCGCCAGCCCTGAGAAGAAGGCGGCCATACAGGCTCGCATCGGGGTTTTAGGGTTTAGGGTTTTAGGGTTTTAGGGTTTAGGCTTTAGGGTTTAAGGGTTTGAAGATTTGATGGTTTCAGGGTTTCAGGGCCCTGCCCTCGAGTCTGCACGCGAGTCTGCGTCTTCCCATTGGGATCTCTCAGCCTTTTGTGTATGAGGGCGTCTTTATGGTGAGGGCCTAAGGCGGTGTGGTCAGGGCAGGCCGTCTGATTAGATTGCTTGGAGACTACCGCCAACCAGTACGGAAACCTCGATGCCTCTCCCTCTGCCTTGGGCTAGGATCCGATCCAAGTGACGGACTTCAGACCCATACCTGGGAGCTAGAAAGACCTCTTTCATCATCTTATGTTGTTGCTGGCGTAGGGTTTCTGAGGGCAGTTTGGGGCTGTTTGCTACCTCGTAGGCTCCGGTGACTCTGGTGTTTGGTAGTACTACGAGGCTTTGAACCCTACGATTCTGCGGAGGAATCTGATGTAAAACGCGTTGATACGCTTCATGTGCGGTGTGGTCAGGGTTTAAGCTTCTAAACCGCAGGTGGGAGTGGGTGCAAATGCAGTATGAAAGATGTGGAGTTTTTCTTTGCGGGACGTGGAGTTGTTCCAGATCAAGCGCAGTTTCTTGTATGCTTCTTCTGCAAGATCTGGCTGTGGTAGAATGCAATGTCGAAAGCTTAAGCCCACGATATCATGCTGTCGAGGTATTTGACGGTTTCTTTTGTTGGAACCTTACTACCGTCACTCGACCGTCAGGGATCTGTGGAGTTGGCTGGGATTAGCGGTTCGGTCTTTATCTTTTCCCCGGACATCCCATATTACGCAAAGATCGCCTCCAGGGTGCTGAGAATTGACTGCATCTGTGGTCCGAGCTACAAAGAAGGGCGTCCGGCGTCCTCCGCATACTCAAGGTCATAAGTGGGATACCCTTCGTCCAAGTATTTCTAGCTATGCCCTGTTGATCCAAAGACTCGTCTAAGTCATGAAACATGCAGTGAGTACCGTGATGAAAAGGTATGGACTCAATGGACATCCTTGCCTTATGCCTGCTGAGTCTTTACCAACGGCAGTACGGTTAAAACCCTGAGTTTCAAAAGTAGGCACAGCGTAGAAAGACTTGATAGCGGACATAATCCTAGCAGAAAGCACAAATCTATGTAGGGCCTCCATAATGGCGGTGTGGTCAAGCAAATCAAATGTTTGCTTCCAATCTAGAACAGTAGCATCAACTTTTTTGTTTGTCATTACCGACCATTCCATGGCTCTCCTCAGCGTTTGTAATGGGCGTCTTGTGCCGCGTTGTGGTCGAAAACCGCATTGATTGCTCCTGAGCTTGCCTCTGGCCTGTAGCAAGGAAGCATAAAGTTTGTAAGTGACGTTAAGGAGGGATATTGGGCGGTATGACCCAGGATCTGTGTCCTTACGGGTTTAGAGGTGTCTTTGTATGTTGAGCCCTGAACTTCAGGTCATGGGCCTCTTGCATACGACCCGAGGCTGTGCCGATGCTTCCAAGGCTCTTGGTAGCCTGGCGGGGCTTTTGGGGTCTTGCTGAGCGCAGCTCTCCCCTCTGCCCCAAGTTTTCCATGCATTTCGAGCGGCGTGGAGCAAAAGAAGCTCCAGAGGAACGGCGTAAAAAGAAGAGAGCCGCTGTGTCCAGCATCCTCATGAGAAGCGAAGAGAAGCGACACAACAAGTCCCTGAACCGTAAGCCTGTGATAGCACGAAGGATGCGTACTTGGGACAAGGCAGCCCGAAAAACCTCAATCCAACACCCCCCCCCCCAAACCGAGAAACCCTTACACCCCCAAGTCCCTAAACCCCGAAACGGTAGACGACCCGACCACCCCATGTATGGGTAATAACCAAGATCAGGGTCCCTTTTAGGGTTTTTTTGTTTTAGTAAGGGCGCGGTACTAAAATAATATCGGGGACCTAAAAGGGGCCCTAAGATAGAGAACTACCCAAATATGCAACCCTAAACCCTAAACCCTAAACCCCAAAAAGATTAAAAAGGGGCCCTAATTTAGAGAACTACCCAACTATGCAACCCTAAACCCTAAACCCTAAAAAAGATTAAAACGGGGCCCTAATTTAGAGAACTACCCAACTATGCAAAAAAACAATAGCCAACTCCACAGGATGATTTCATCCTCAGAGCACGGGAGCGAATACAGGACCCAAGGGGGGCAAGAATTTGGGTTTAGGGTTTCAGGTTCGGGGTTTCGGGTTTGGGGTTTAGGGTTTAGGGTTTAGGGTTTGGGGTTTAGGGTTTTGGATTTGGGGTCGATTTCAGTGTCCCTCGGCAAAGGGTTGGTGGTTTAGGGTTTTCTGGGGGCTAGTTCTTTCAGAATTTTGAGGTCCGGGGTTCAGTGTTTTTCGGATGGGCCTAGGCGTAGGGTTTCCAGTTTAAATTTTTCCCAAAAACCCCTTCGTGCGTTGGGTTCTCCTTTAGATTTTCCAACCGCGTGGCGCAATACGGGGTGCGGTGCGGGAGCACAAGCGTTTAAAGCCTTCGGCGTCCACCGGGTCCACACGTTTACACGCAATGCTATTTCAATACTGATGGTAACGCGACTCAACACGAATTTATCGCACCATACTGGGAACTCGAGAGCAGTAGTGAGAATAGAACTATGTGCATACATGAGCCTTAAAGGATATAACAGTATTGATCCGTGACAAGAACGGCAAGGACCCTAAACCCTAAACCCTATCAACACAAACAGAGCTTAGGGACGTAGGCTTAAGGTAGGCTCGAACCGAACTGTTTGGAAGAAGCCTGGTCAAAACCAGGCTGGCGATGAGATCACAGTGTCGTACCTCTCTGAGGCCACCCGCGAGGGAGCACAGCCTTGTGTTGCTTCCGAGCAGGATCGGTCCCGAATTTCCCGCAAAAAGCCGGGATTCTTCGAAGGCCTAAAGCCCAGGAGCCCAAAACCCCAAAGCCCAAAACCCCAAAGCCCGACTCTAAGACCTGAAGGCCCAATGAAGCCCTGAAGCGGTAGAGATCTGACGAAAGAGTCCTAATGTCCCCTTATACTTCGTATAGATATTCGGGCTTTAGGGCTTTAGGGTTTCGGGCTTTGTGGTTTGGGGGTTAGGGTTTGAGGCATACACCAAGATAGAAACCACAAAAGCCGACGGAGGCCCATATGTCAGAACCCTTTACGTGACCCTTAAATGACCTGCTGGTCATGATGGGTCTTGACAAAGGGACCCAAAACCGCTAAACCCCAACCCTACATTGTAGGGTTGTAGGGCCTACAAGACGATCCACCCTGAAAGTTAGAACCCCTAAACCCTAAACCCTAAACAAACACTGAATAACTCTAAATCCGAAGCTTTAAAGGAAACACCAAACGCCTGAACCTAGGGCTTCGTGCTTTGGGCTTCGTCGTTCGAGGTTGAGAGTGTCAGCTCAGGGCCTGGGGTGTAAGGTTGAAAAACCCTACACCCTGAACCCTAAACCCCCAAAGCCCTTAAGCCCTAAACCCTAAACCACTAAAGCCCTAAAGCCCTAAACCCCTAAACCCCCTAAACCCCTAAACCCCCCAAAAGCCCTAAACCCCTAAAGCCCTAAACACCCCAAACCCCTAAACCTCTAAACCCTAAACCCCTAAACCGTTAAACCCTAAACCTCTAAACCCTAAACCCCTAAACCCCAAAAGCCCCAAAACGTTGCAGGGTTCAGGGCTTAATAGGAGACTTCGGACCAGGACTTGTGGGCTGGGGCTTAGGTTTTTAGTTTTGAGGGCTTTGGGAGTTTGGGGTTTAGGGCTCAGGTCTAGGGTTTTGGGTTTAGAGTTTAGGGTGTAGGGTTTGGGGTTTTGGGTTTAGGGTCTAGGGTTTAGGGTTTAGGGTTTAGGGTCTAGAGTTTAGGGTTTAGGGTCTAAGTCTAGGGTTTAGGGTTTGGGGTGATGGAAACCTGTGTGTTGGTCAGGGGTGCGGTTTGGGGGTTTAGGGCTTCCGGACTTGCAGACTGTTTTCTATTTGTGAGCATATTCCGTACTTGGCAAGGGTGCGATATTTGTCGGGTTGGCTTTTGGTATTGGGGGTTTGGGCCGAAGGTTTTGAGGTTTTGGGTGCAGGGTTCGGGGGTTTTGCTTTGACGTTTTTGCCCGAAGCCATGCGACAGGATGTGCTACTCGATGCCACGGTTGCTCGGCGAAAGCACTTGAAGGACCTCACGAGACCAGCCCAGGCTCTAACCCTAAGCCCTGAGCCCTAAACCCTAAGCCCTAAACCCTAAGCCCTAAACCCTAAATCCTGAGCCCTTAGCCCTAAACCCTAAGCC